TGGCATCATAGCTCACAGCAACCTCAAACTCTTGGGGTCAGGTGATCCTCTTGCCTCAGCCTCCAGAGCAGCTGGGACTACAGGTGCCTATAACAAGACCCAGCTAGTTTTTCCATTTTCAGTAAAGATGATATCTTGCTTTGGCTCGTGCTCAGGCTGGTCTCCAACTCCTGATCTCAAGTGAGCCACCCGATTTAGCCTCCCAGAGAGCTAAGGAAACAGGCGTGAGCCACTGGGCTCAGCTAGAAAACATTTTTTAATGAGGATTGGAAATTGCAATATTATCTTGTTTCTGCTAAAGATAAGATGATTTGCAGGCTTTGTGATACTGCAACATTAAAGAAATTCAATGCTCATCGGCATTATAATATGCATAAGGACCACAAATATTTTAAATCAGAGGGAGTGGTGCAGAATGTGCGATTGCAGAAATTAAAAGATGAAAAGCAAAGACAGTCCTTTTAAGCAGCAATAAGACCTGGAAATAATGCCCCAGAAGCGACTTATACTTAGTAGCTTATGTACTGGGCGGAGTCAGGGAGCCATTCAGTGATGCAGAAATGGTGAAAGAATGCATTGTTGAAACTATAGGATGCTTAGATCCTGATAACATTTTAAAGCACCAACAACTGCCTCTTTCAAGAAGAACCATAACTGATCAGCAGCATGAATTAGTCCTCAAGATAACAAAGCAACTTAATGCAATACTTCAGAAGGAAAAGACAGTATGTATTATTCAATTACATTGGGTGAATCAACTGATACTATTGACTACGTACAGCCTGTATACTTCATTCTGATCGTGACAGAACATTTTCTTTGCTACAAAGATTTACTCACTTTGGGCCCTTGTGAACAGAACACAGGGAATAGATATCTTCAACAATTTTCAAATTAAATGGCATGAAGGTGAACTGAACTTGGTAAATTTAGTGAGGATATTACAGGAAAACATTAAAATTTTTTTTGCACAGATTTTAAAAAATGTATTAACAGATCCAGATGCTCTCATTTCTGTTTATTGTATTTGCATCAGCAAAATCCCTGTGCAACAAGTTATAAGCATGTGTATAAAGTTATAAGCATTGTCAACGGTATTCAGGCAAATGCAACAAAGCATTGTCAGCTTTGTAACAGGAAAAGCTGAATGATGAGATATTCGGAATGGGTTTGCCATATCATTCTAAAGTGGGTGGGCCTAAAGTGAGACTCTGTCTCTAAAAACAAAAAAAATAAACAATAAAAATAAATAAAAATAAAAAGTTATCTTTTCTTGAAACACTTCTTGAAAAGGAAATTTCAGATGAATACTTTCCTTGACTAACAAAGGTCACTGTGAGCAGGATGATTTATGCAAATTATCTGAACAATGTGCAACTGTTATAGTCCTATTAATTGGGGAATGCAAGGAAAAGTTCACAGAGAATTATGACTTCATGCTCAAATTAGCATTTCAACCTCACCTAGTTGAATCACCAAGGCACCTAAAGAACTACAGATAGAATTGATTGAGCTCTCAATAGATGACATTTTAAAGTCATTGGTGATAAGAATGATTATGTTAATTAGTTTGATTTAAGCATTTTACATCGTATATCAAATCATCACATTGTACCCCACAAATGTATACAGTTATGATTTAATAAAAACTAAGTTAAAAAAAGAGCCAACTGAAATATGGCAAAATGCAGAAAAATGCCCATATCGTCAGCAACGTGCCTGAAAAATGCTTTCCTGCTTTCAACGACTTATTGTGAAGATGTTCTTAATGTCCCAAGTGACTGATGCCCATCTAGAGGATCGACTGAAACTACAGACCTTCTTAGTACACCCATATATTCAAATGCTTTCCACGAAAAGCAGACACAACAAAGTCATTCAAAGGTTAGTTAGCATTAAAATTAGCAAATAGTTTTGAAGTTTCTTGAATGGAGCCTTATTTGATTACACGTACACTAATGTGGCCGGCCTTCCAACATAAAAATTTCCCCATCCCCTGCACTATGGTGCAGTATAGTCAGATATAAATTCATAATCTTGGTTCTGACACTTGCTAACTTCACTATTGTGCAACTTCTCTGAGCCGTGGTATCCACATCTACTAAATAAAGTTCATATTAGCCATTTGCCACATAGCTGGCACTTAGCATTTTTATTTAACATGCCTAGCAACCAGTGCTTCCTAGTTACTAGGCACCGGGAATGGTTCAATAAGGTAAAAAACCAAAAACAAACAAAAAAGAAAGTGGGATTTGAGCAGCTAGTGTCCAGAGCCTAGAGACTAAACTAGTATGAAGAAAAGCCTCACATGGGGATTCATGAGTAGTAAAGATTATATTGTTGTAATGAAGTTATATCACCCAGCTGTTGCTATCTAACAAGGTATCCCAAAGCAAAATGACTTAAAACAATATTCTAATATTTCTCACTGGTCTGTGGGTCAGTTGAGCAGTTCTGCTGGTCTGGGTTATGCTGGATTGACCCTACCTTGGCTTACCTGTGTGCCTGAGGTCAGCTGGCATGTGGACTGGAGGTTGACTGGTCTTAGAAGGCTTCAGAGGACCTGAGTCTTTTCCATGTGTCTTTCACAGTATTTTAGAGGCTATAGGTTGGTCCTATTTTCAAGGTCATGGTAAAGAAGTGATGGTGGCAAGAGATGAGTCCAAACTGCATACTTTGTACCACGTTTGTTGTAGCAGCACCTATAGCATATGGCAAGGAGGAGTGAGAGTTATAAGTAACACCTGTATAGCTTGATAATGGAACACCTTGGTCAAAAGGGCATGGGGAGGGAGTTAGCTCTCCTAACAAGCATGAGAGAGCTCGCGAGATGAGAGCAGCAGCAATTGCTACATATGTGGCATAAGAGCCATGAACTCAGCTTCATAAGAGGCTGGAGGAGAAGGCCCTTGGGAGTGAGCTCATTTTGTCACAGACCCGCTTACTCTGACTCTGTCTGTCACTTCTCCTACTTGCAGAACGCCAGTACAGCATCTCTCTGCTAAAAAGATTGTTAAGCTCTGCTAAAGACTGCTAAGATCTATTCTTTTTTTTTTTTTAATTTTATTAAGTCAAATATACTTCTTCTCCCTCAAAAACTGTATCTTTCTCTTTCTCTCCCTTCTGCTAAAGCGAATAACCCTCAGGCACCTAAGATCAATTGCTCCTGAGCTAGATAGCAAAGTGGGCAGTGTCAGGAACACAGATAAGCGGAGTGGTGGGGGGAGCTGGAGGCCTGGCCAGTCCTGGCCCCAGTAAGTGGCAGTGGGATTTGTTAACATCCCACTTAACACATTGAGCCCTCACCAATGTTGTCTTATTTAAGATGACTAATCCAACTCAGTCAAAATCTAACTCAACAAAGAGTTTTTACCATTATACTTGTAGCAAGGAGTATTATCAAACTCCACTCATTGGGCCAGATACCCTTGTGATGTTAGCGAAAAATTTGCCACTCACATAGCTCACAATCTACCCTTGTGAGTTCATCGGCCAGTCAGTGGCCTCAACTCCAAGCTCTAACAACGTACACAAAAAATATTTTTGATGAAACTATTTTATAGGAATATATGCTTAGATGTAGCAAAATATGAACCTTATACCTACTTGAACTCGATACAATTTGCAATTGGTCTATTGTTTATATGCAAAGGGACTCAACTGACACCACTGGAAGAATCCTTTAAAAGCTCATTCTTCCAAGTAATCTCAATGCTCCTCCCTGGGATCCATTTTTACTTAGTCATTTGCATAGAGTTCTGAGAGTTATTGCGCTTCATTTGGTTGGGTTTGTTTGTTTGTTTGGGTAAGAAAGCAAAAGCAAACATAAGCCCATCCCATGTCTGTATTATTCT